CCAKCCGTTCAWTTTTATGTTGTAGTTCAGCCTCTGACCACTAGTTGGCAGCAGTGAGCCAGCCTTTTGGCTCCTCTACTTCTTGAGCACCAGAGAGTAAAGGTAGCATTAGCATTGTGAGTAAACATTAGCTTCATGCTCCGATAGCTGAATCTGAGCAGAAAAGACCGACACCCTCTGCYTTCTAAGCTGAGGTAAGGTTACAAACAGTTACTTATTTGTCAGAATGTCTGTATTTTAAACCAAAATTAAGCGTCTCGTGCGCTCTTTTTTCCAACTTTAGTCAGCCTTCACGTTACAGAAAGCTAGCGCATGTCTATGTAATAGAATTTTCTGAGAGAATGGATTTTGGTTTTTCTTTTTTTTTCCAGTTAGAGGTTTTTATTTAATAGAATTTTTGGACCAAAAAAATCGCAATATATCACCTTGCTTACAGTATCGCGATATATTGGGATATATCGTATCGTGACCCGTCTGTCATGATGTGTATCGTATCGCCAAATTCTTGCCAATACACAGCCCTAGAGGCTATTAACCTAGCCCATGGGTACTTTGTATGGCTTCGGTTCTTACATTTCTTCTTACATTCAAGTCTTAATTCTGTATTTGTTGCCTTGTCCTTTACACACATTTGAGTAACTGAGCACAATATATTTTACACTAACATGAAAACTAAGAATGAAATTATTTTATTAGTGTTGAAAACAAAGTCATAAAGAGACAACAATGTGGATTTTTTTCTTTCTTTGTCGCACATCTCATTTCTGACAGGTGAAAGTTTGGAGTTCCAAAGTATTTAAGGTAGAAACTGTGGAAGGTGAGGAGGAACTGCAGGAGCTGGAGCGCTTCACTTTCTGGAGCTGGTTTCAGAGTTTATTACGCGAACAACACAATGAAACGACCATTAACATCAACCTGTTCAGCAAAAAGACCTGCTTCAAGATCGACCCCACCGCAAACACCAAGTACACCGTCAAACCGGTTCGCAGTAAGTGGAAAAACAAACCAAAACAAAAACATGTACATGACTGTTAATGAGAGAGAAATGACCAGATTTCTTTTTTTCTTCTTCTTGTAGAGTTTGATATCTACCTATTTTTGGTGTTCCTCTCTGGGGCGCTGTTGTTTGTCTTTGCAGACTCTCTGAGCAGGTATTTGTGTTTGATAAACAAATGTTTCGTTTTCAGATTTTGCTGGATAAAATAGTAATTATATATTTCTTTTTGTTATGGCTGCAGGAGTCCAGCTTTCTTCTACTCTGCTGGGATGAGTACAGGCATGATCGCCTCTCTCGTCATTCTTGTCTTCATCCTGGCACGCTTTATGCCAAAGGTACGGTTTTTAATTTCTTTGCAGCTTACATCACATTGTGAGTAAAATGAACTTGAGTTCAATGCTTGATTTTTGGACGTTTTGTGTTGTTTTGTTTTGTTTTCCACAGAAAAGCCCATTTTATATGGTTGTAGTTGGCGGCTGGTCATTCTGTCTTTACGCCACCCAGCTTGTCTTCAGGAACCTCAAAGTAATTCTGCGAGAGCACTGGCACATGGCATTAGGTACAGACTTCATGTAGATGCTAACTTTATGAAAATTAAAAAGGAGATATAAACAATACCAGTGAAATCTAACAGTTTTCTACCTCTGTTGCACATTCAAATAATTATTAGGAGACCACTACAGTCACAAGGAAAAGAGTTTTATGTATCATGACAAAATAAAAATGATCGTAAACAGACTGAATTTATTTAGATTTCACCTCAAGTGTACAAAAACAGATTTTGTGTCATTTATATATATAAAAAAGCCAAAATTAAAGATCTGTTTGTGGGGAAAACTATGTGCACCATCGCTGCTTCCATAGGATTTATCATCTTTAACTACATTATAGAAGTTCTTTTGATTTTGTTTTTGAATATAGGGGTTTTTATCCCATCCTGAGTGACTGAGAATCTTTAGGAAGTAGATTATCCCACTGATGTGATGCTCTGAAAAAGAACACAGTTTGAGCATCTTTGCCACTGATATAACCTGTTTTAATATCAGGAGGAGAAACCACAGTTTGACAAATAATACTGTACTTCACCAAATACACTGCAAAAACAGTACTACTTCAAGGCTTTAGAGTGTGACCAAATTTCCTAATAGTGTGACTAAAAAAAATGTCCGGTCGCACTGGTGCGACCAAGGGGGAGGGGGAGCGGTCGCCTGCTGAAACTAAACGTTTTCATCATGTTCCATAAAAATAATAATAGGGCTGCCACGATTAGTCGATTAATCGATGACTAGATGACTAATTTAATAATCGATTAATCGTTTTCTTTTTTTTGTTCTTTATTTYGTTTTTYTCTCCAAACTGCTTTGACACCTTCCACTGCCACATCTGCCTTTCTGTCCTTGACACACATGCACAGTAGTGGTAACTGGGGTAGGCCGTGGACGTCACAAGACATTATACAGACAGGCTCTGGTATCATGGCTACCTGACAACGGAGCTCAAAGTGTGGGATCATTTTAAGAAAATGAAAGAGAAACCTGTGCAATATCTGCAGAGCAGAACTTGTCTTCCACAGCAATTATTTTTAGTTAGCATATAGCTAAAATCTAACGATGGTTATACAATAGCAGCTGCATTCTGGCACGATAAGCTCTGTTTTATATTCAATTAACATATGATCCGATTAGCCGACTAATCGAAAAAAATAATCGATGATCAATCAAAAAAAATAATCTTTTGTGGCAGCCCTAGTTTTTACATCTAAAAATGATATTTCATTATTTTAATCTATTTTCCTCATTCAGCAAACTATTAAATTTCTGTTATGTTTCATGTAGGAGAAATACACATTTTTTTCAGTCAGAATTTAACACAGCTGGCAAAATAAATTGTTAAAATATGTATTATGTGCTTCTGTTTTTTTAATTCAGCAGATTATAAAAAATCCTTCATTTTAAGGGAAGMCCCTCTTGATTCAAGAGAAAACTCAGTTTTTTAAAAAATGGCTGCTTATTAATCAATTGTTATCAATCTATAAGATACATCAACTTCAGATTAATTCATTATCAATAACTTGCGTCCTTAAGGAGTTAACTTAATTTATATCTACTCATATTCATGTAATTAAGCTTTTAATGATTTGGCCGATTAATCGATTAATCGAAAAAATAATCAACAGATTAATCGATTATTAAAATAATCGTTAGTTGCAGCCCTAATCTTGTTAATTTAACTGTCAGGGTCTACTCTGTGAGCAGCAGATCATTTGAGCAGGACGAGGAAGCTTATGTGTATGGCAAACTGCTTTTGCACTTAATCGACTTCACCACAGTTACATTCCAAGTATCTGCTCAGGAGGATAAAACTAGACATATTAGATATTTAAGTGAAATAATATAAGATAATAAGATTCAACTAATGATGAAGTTGCAGACTTTTATGTGTTATTATTTAAAAAATGTGCACAACCTTCTAATAAATATCATTAATATTTCTGTTATTAATCATTATTCTCTGTTCATCATTCTGGTTTATCCGAGGCCAAAGATCCATAGTTGTCCATCTGAGGGGCATGTGTCTAAAAAAAACTTAACCATGAAATGTTTAATATGTTTATAAGACATTCAGCCCTTAAACATTTGCACTTAGAATTTTATAGAATCACTCTAAATACTTTTCAGTAAATTAAATGTCTACAATTCTGGTTCAAATAAAGAACTTTATGTTTACTAGATTG